TATATTTTCTAATTAATATATTTTAAAAAGTCAGACAAAATACAATATATCAGTTTTTTTCTTTCTATTTGAAGCCTAATAATTAATATAAATAAAAAACTGGTAAAATATTGGTTTCTTTTAAGCCTAATGTATTTATTTAAAAAAAAAAAAAAATATATAGATTTGTAAAAATATTTTCTAATGATTATATTTTGACCAATCAGGAAACGTCCGTTATTAAATGTTTTTAACGTGTGTTTCTTCGCCCTGCAGTGGAAGTGCTGCGGCTCCAACAGCTCCACGGACTGGAGGGGCTTCGGCCCCGACGGTCACTCGGTGCCGGACTCGTGTTGTGTCAAAGTCGCTCAGAACTGTGGAGTCGGAGTCATGACGAACGCCACCAAAGTGCACCAGACGGTAAACTGATCTTCATGTCTCTTCTACATCAACATGTGTCCCCTCTTCTTCATGTCTCTTCTACATCAACATGTGTCCCCTCTTCTTCATGTCTCTTCTAGATCAACATGTGTCCCCTCTTCTTCATGTCTCTTCTACGTCAACATGTGTCCCCTCTTCTTCATGTCTCTTCTACATCAACATGTGTCCCCTCTTCCTCATGTCTCTTCTACATCAACATGTGTCCCCTCTTCTCCATGTCTCTTCTACATCAACATGTGTCCCCTCTTCTCCATGTCTCTTCTACATCAACATGTGTCCCCTCTTCCTCATGTCTCTTCTACATCAACATGTGTCCCCTCTTCTCCATGTCTCTTCTACATCAACATGTGTCCCCTCTTCTTCATGTCTCTTATACATCAACATGTGTCCCCTCTTCTCCATGTCTCCTCTACATCAACATGTGTCCCCTCTTCCTCATGTCTCTTCTTCATCAACATGTGTCCCCTCTTCTTCATGTATCTTCTTCATCAACATGTGTCCCCTCTTTTTCATGTCTCTTCTACATCAACACGTGTCCCCTCTTCTTCATGTCTCTTCTACATCAACACGTGTCCCCTCTTCTTCATGTCTCTTCTACATCAACACGTGTCCCCTCTTCTTCATGTCTTTTCTACATCAACATGTGTCCCCTCTTCTTCATGTCTCTTCTACATCAACATGTGTCCCCTCTTCTTCATGTCTCTTCTACATCAACATGTGTCCCCTCTTCTTCATGTCTCTTCTACATCAACATGTGTCCCCTCTTCTTCATGCCTCTTCTACATCAACATGTGTCCCCTCTGTGTAAAGAGACTCTCTGGTCATATTTCTTCTTCTGTGGTTTCAGGGCTGCCATGACACGCTGGTGAAGCTGCTGCAGGACAATCTGCTGTGGGTGATCGTCGGAGTGCTCGTTATCGCCGCCCTGCAGGTAACACGCATCACAGGGCAGAACATATATAATCTGAACATACACTGACACTGAGCCGTCCCACGACTACAAAGAGACACTTAAAGACTACAGAGGGACACATGCAAACCAGGAAGAGGCTTAAAATGACCACAATTAACATACAACTGTAAATACACACATGACCACTAAGAGACACATATAGACTACAGAGACAGGTACAAACCAGGAAGAGACCTACAAAGATTACAGACTACAAAGAGAAGTATAGAGACTACAGAGAGACTATTAGAGACTACAGAGAGAAGTATAGAGACTACAGAGAGAAGTATAGAGACTACAGAGAGACTATTAGAGACTACAGAGAGAAGTATAGAGACTACAGAGAGACTATTAGAGACTACAGAGAGAAGTATAGAGACTACAGAGAGACTATTAGAGACTACAGAGAGAAGTATAGAGACTACAGAGAGAAGTATAGAGACTACAGAGAGAAGTATAGAGACTACAGAGAGAAGTATAGAGAGAGAAGGATAGAGACTACAGAGAGAAGGATAGAGACTACAGAGAGAAGGATAGAGACTACAGAGAGAAGGATAGAGACTACAGAGAGACACATCACAGTGTTTTTGACTCTGCTGAAGGTCATAAATAAAGGTTTAAAATGTGTAAATGTTTGTTTTTCTGCAGATCTTGGGCATCGTGTCCGCCTGCTGTCTGATGAAAGGAATCCGCAGTGGATACGAGGTCATGTGATCACCTCCACATTGTTCAGGAGCTTCATTTGGAAAACTTTATTAATATTCATCTTCAGACATTATGCAATTTCTCCTGATTTCATTTCGGATTGTATTTTCACTGGTTAACGAACTCTCCTCTCCGCCACCGTGTAGCAAATGATTCATGTCTATTTTATCTCACCGTACGGTTGATTATTGTTGGTTTTGAGGAATTATAACATCGTTTATTGTTCTGTTTCGACACTTTAGATCTGATTTATGTATTGCTGGTTCCCTGTGTCTGTTTTTATTAAAGACCCTTTAAATTAAACCTGAATTTGCCTCAAGTGTCGGCTATATTTAGCATATTACTCAAAACATGGCTACATGTTACACCTTTCCCCTCTATACTGAACGCGTTTAATAACCCTTTTCATCTTAAGATTATACAACTTATTAGTAATTAGTGAGTGAGTTAGTTAGTAAGGGGGTGAGTTATTAGTGAGTGAGTTAGTAGGGTAGTGAGTTAGGTCCAATCCCAAACCACGCCCTACACCCTACCCCTCTGTGACGGAGTGAACTCCGTGGAGTGACACATGAGGCTCCCTCCTGTCAGATGGAGGGAGTAAATACAACAGCAAGCTTTGGGACGGCCTCCCCCCTCTCCGGCAGAAACAGCAAATGCCCTAACTGTGTAACAACGGTTTCAAATCAGCTCCTAGACAAAAAATTAATAACTCAAATAAAACTCCAAACATCTTTAATTGTGTTTCTTTTTTGTAAAGCTCTTTTAGTTTTAAACCTGATGTTTATAAGCTTCTTAGTTTTTGCAACGGTCTGTAAATATACACAACTTTATAATAAAATGCACACATTTACCTTTTTCTAGACTAAACACAGGTTTGATCCTAAATTAAAACATATGAGGTCATCATGAGGTTAACATCTCGGTTTATCTGTGGATGTTTTAATGTGGCGGACCCTCCGCACGAACGTGGTTTGGGATTGGGCCTTAGTGAGTGAGTTAGTGAGCGGTTATTTCACCTTCATAAAAACACAGAGGCCATGAACGCACCATTTACAGGTTTTTATTTCAGACACGGTTGCGATACAGTGTGTAATATTGGCACAAACACAACATTCAAAAACCTGATATATTAAACGGAAAATAACTTTTTCAACTTATATTATTATCTCAGATGTGTTGCTTCTTGTGAAAGGCACAGGAAGCATTTCACAATTTAAACTTCCTGTCGTTGCAGGGGAGGAAACGTGAGATCCTGAAGTGACATTAAGATCAAACAAAGGGACAGTTTGATGATTTATAGCGGGTTTAAATTAAGTATTTCTCATCTGACCTGTAGTAGATATGCATTTAAGACTCCTTCAAATCTAAATCCACAGATATCAGAATGTAGAGTCTCTACTCTGACATGTCTCCATGCTTTAATGTTTGAAAAGCTCTTTACTTTCACAGCTTTTCACTCGTTCAAATTCTGCTCTGAACTCTTCAGTACCTTCTTATTACTGTAATTCTTATAATCTGCATGTTCTTGACTGTTGCCTGTCTTTGTATTTCCTCTTGATACACACTTACAAATGACTGCTTACCTAGAAAAGTACTGAGCAATAAACCTTATTTCTATGACTTTGCTCTAAAGCAGTTCTTTCTGACGGGAACTGAGACACCAAACTCAAAGTCATTTAACTTATAAGACCGCAGGAGTTTCTGATCTGCTGCTGGCTCTATAGTTGAGTTAGTTTGTTATTTAGTGACGTATGTGTTAAAAAGGGTTTGCTTCCTCAAAGTCCCACAATAACAGACTAACCAACCAGATTCTGGGGTTTTAAAAGACAGAATATCAAACACCTGCTGGTTTATTCTCCTGCTCGTCTCAAATGTTCTGTTTTACATTACTCTGGCTCTGTGGTCATTGAGAGACACTGGCTGCTAAACCCGGACTGTTACAGGATTTGAAAAGCATGTAACCTTTTTATATTTTTACTATATCATAACATCAACTAATCTGTCTGTGGCTCTTTCCTGCTGTAACGATGCAAGTTTCCCCTCTGTGGGACTAATGAAGGCATTCTGATTCGGTCTTTTATAGGCATCTTAATGTCATGTGTTTGAGGGCAAGGTAAAGCGGTGAAAGTATTATAAATATGCGAACAATTAACATCATTTAATGCGAAGTACCTCACACAAACACACTTCAAAACAATCCAATCATCCCTTTAAGTGACCCTGTTAACAACCCTTCAGCACAGAGGTTCCTCAGAGAGCCGGGCGTAGTGTTGCAGACGTGTGAAGCATTAGATCAGATCCATCGCTTTAATGTCAGGTTGCGCTTCGGTCCGAAGAAAAGTAAACGATAAAGTGCCGTCACATTTCGTGCTGCATATTCCATCGTCTTCTCAAACACATAATCCTTATTTTTTCAGCATCCATCTTGTTTTGTATTTGTCTAAACTACTTCCCGTTGCATCACGTCTCCCCTTTGACCTGCTTTCTTCGAGTAGCGGAGCAGAGCACAGAGAGAATGCACGAGAAGCTAAACTGATGTGTAAAAGAAGATATGTATCCGTGTGCAGACTGTTTGCCACAAGTCAAATGTTAACTTCCTGCGGGTTGTACTGTGAGCTCAGAGGAAAATGAGAAAAGCCGGATATTAAACACGGATGGAGAAACAGCGACGTGTAATCAGGATTTGACCTGAACAGCTCAGTGGACTCTTGAGCTGAATTGATGGAAAACAATGAGATTTATATTATCTTTGTACAACTAACTATTTATTTATAATTTGTTCTTGTTATATTCAAGGTGAGAATTTCCCATTTCAATTTAAATAATCCCCCAAAAGTCAAAAACGCCTCCCTCCCTCTCCTCTGATAAACACACTATTGATCCATGCTTCCCCCCCCCCCCCCCCCCCCCCCCCCCCCTCCCCCTGTGATTTGGTGAACAACAACCGGAACACCGGACGTTTCTAATTCCACAACCGACGTGATTTCTCTCGGCTGCAACCATGCATCGTTTCTCTTCTCTTGAACCTCATTATTTTGGCAAAAATTGTGTTTAACATTTTTGGTTTTTTCCGGCGAGACGAAGGATATGTCGATAGCTCTTCAGGAAGCAGATTGCACTGGACTTCCCGTCAGTGGCGGTAGTTTGCGGAGAGGAACACGATGCTGTGCAAGAGCAGAGACACCTCGGAGTCTGAGGGGAGACAGAGAGAACAGAGAGTTAAACTTTTTTCAGTAATGTACCCCCTTTGAAACATTTTCTCAGCCAAGTACCCCTGACCGACCCCTGGACATTTTTGACAGAAAAAGCCTATATAAATTATTACAATATTTTTTTGATTTATTAACTCCTTAATGCATGAATAACAAACTAAGGATATTTTCATCTTTATGCATGAAAACAAAAAAAAAATGTCAATATGTTTAACAAACCAATGAACAATATGATATATTATTAAAAACTATAAATACAATACACACATGTAACATGTTTAAATGAGGACCCCCTTAGTGGTAGGAATATTTTATATAAAATTGTGTTTTCTATTTAACTTATTGTACTAAGATTATTTTTGTAATCATGCATGGTATTTTTATTTTTTTAACCTCACGTACCCCCTGCAGTACCCCAACGTACCCCTAGGGGTCCGCGTACCCCCATTTGAGAATCACTGCCTTATAGTGACGTTCCCTCCTAGACTACGGCACAAAGGGAAGAAACAACACGTACAAAGAACCGGGAGAGAGGAACCCGACTTGGCGAACTTAGTAGATGATGTTTAGTGACTTGAAAAGGAAGAACGGCCAAGTTACAAAGCAAACTTAAGATAAACTTTCTCCTAAAAGAAAGTCACTAAAGTATCCATACACTTTTTCACCCATGACTTCTCCAGGACCTTTACCTCATTTTCCATGACCAAACAAACGACTCTTTCTCAGCGGTTCCACTGAAAATGGTTTATTTTAACAGGAAAATAAGGTCTGAAACATGTTGAGTCTAAAACAAATCCAATAGGCTTACTAGCTTCTACACGCTCAAGCTACTAAAATCTCTCACAGGCAAAACACCTCGTCAGTTAAATGCCATTTTACGTTTCATTACTATACGATACAGTATGTATTATCATTATAGTATTACTATTTTGGCGATTAGATAAAATATAAATTATATTTGATGCAACTTTGGTTACATTTCCATGACTTTTCCAAAACTTTGGGAACAATTTTGTTTTCCAGGGCCTGGAATTAGCATTTTGAATTTCCATGACTTGTTCAGGTTTGTAATGACCGTAAGAACCCTGAGTAGTTAATACACAAACACAAGTTGAACACACAGGCCTCGCACAGACACACAGGATTATATGACGGAGGGTTAAAGGAATACTTAAATAGATGAGATATTTCTTCCATTTTTGTGCAGTAAAGTCACTTTGGTTCCTCATTGGATGGGTTTGATGACTACAAGTGCATTGTGGGTAATGTAGGCACTTGGTATAGACAAGGTAAAAGCATGCATGGAATAAAGAACGACTCCCACAATGACTTTCCAGGTCACTCAAATCCAATTAAGGGAAATGACTGTTGTCCTTTCTGTGAAACACTGGATGACATCTATTCATTTAAGAAAAGAAGCGCCTGATTGGCTGTTTGCAAGACAACCAATCAGGCGCTTCTTTTGTTTATCACTCTGCCTTCAATCTCCTGAGAAAACACACACACTCTAAATATGGGAACACACACACACAGGTGCACTCTTGCTGTATCACAATCACAGGGGAATGCAACAGCTGATCATCCCCTTTTTAACTGCCTAGTCACACACACACACACACACACACACACACACACACACACACACACACACACACACACACACACACACACACACACACACACACACACACACACACACACACACACACACACACACACACACACACACACACACACACACACACACACACACACCACAACACACACACACACACACACACACACACACACACACACACACACACACACACACACACACACACACACACACACACACACACACACACACACACACACACACACACCTTTGAGGGAGTTGGACAGGTGGAGCCAGCGGGACATCCACTCTCTGCACTGAGGGACCGTCAGACTGCTGGAGTACAGACCGCGCAGGAAACACGCCTGAAGCAGGAGGAACGTCATCAAAGTCAATCTTCCAGTTTGTGTGCACAGACAGAGATCGAAATACTGTTTCCCACAATCCAGAATATAAAACACAAATATATATAAAATATGTATATCCTATATATACACACAATCCATAGACACATGTATACATATGCAACAGTGGCGAACCGTCAGGGCCTTCAAGGTATTCAGAGAACACTCAGATAAAACAAACAAAAAATCGATTTAATTATATATGAGGAGCTCGACGCCCGTGAACTGTCAGCAGGAGAGCGGGAGGAGCCGCGGGGAAGCAGTGTGTGGACCATAGGTGTGGACCTGTCAGCGCAACACACCTAAATAATTGGTTTAAACGGCATAATAATAATAAGGACGATCGTCCGTTCTGTGATTCTCCAGAACACACGTGTTATGATATTATAGGGCCACGCAGAGTGAGATGAGATCGCTGTGTGTGGATGGTAGAGCGAGAGTGAGGGAGCATGTGTATGTTTCTGGAAGTGAAACGAGGCAGCAGAAAAACAGAGGTCTGTGATGTATTTTGTGAAACAGAAGAGCAGCTAAATAAATGCAACGGCCTCCCAAGAAGAGCTCCAGTCATTGAAGCTAAAGTGGGTTATTGAACCTGAAGCTTGTTGCTTCTGCCCTCCTCCACTACGGTCTGGGAGCCGACAGGAGAGTTCAACACACAGATGGCCAGTCCGCCCCTTTGTAGCATATTATTTCGATGAGAGATGAGCAGATCGCCACTGGGCTTTCAACTAAAGACACAGCCACGCAAAAACTGCGGCATTTGTACAGCTCCTTGTGGGTACTGCAGTTAGTGAAGTGCTTTCCTCCGTCGTGAAACGATCAGCACCACGGAGGAAAGCGGCAGAAAGTCGCCTGGAGTTAAAGAGAGCGGGGCTGCGTTGCGTGCATGGCTTCCTTCTGCAGGTAACGGGGAGACGCGCTCTGGCGGCGGTCTCGTTCAGGATCCGAAAATACAATTTAAATATTTTGCACACTTATTCCACTTATTTCTAGGTTGCCACTGGTTACGGTGCCGTGTGCCAAATGAATGCGACGAAGCAATTCATGCCGTTTTATTGTTTTTAACGTTGAAATGGCAAGTGCAACGGGTGAAGATGATGGGGGGGGGGGTGTCTACAGAAGGTCCAGTTGTGATAGACACGGTTCGCCACTGATATGCACACATTAAGACCTAAATAAAAGCACAGTAATCAATATATACAAAATAACATTCACTTCAATATCTTTGAGAATAATGAACCGCGCGTTATAGATATATAATAATAATACATTAAATACACAGAGATATAAACCTACTGAAAGACAAATAAATATATTTACTGGAGTAAAGAAGTTTAGTCAGTACTTCTACCAGAGTATTTTTTAAACACGAGTATGTGTACTTCTACTTGAGTAAAGGATGTGTGTTCGTTGCCCTCTCTGGAGGTATCACTGAGAGACGCACCTGTCTGAGCTCGGCCTCGCTCAGGTTCTGGACTCCCAGGCTGCTCAGAGCTCGGTCCAGATGCAGAAGTTCTGATCCGCGATGCTGCAGCTGGCGAGACATCAGGAAGCTGGGGAGACGAGGGGTGAGGAAGAGGAGCGGGGAGACGAGCCTCTGAGGAAGAAACACAGGAGAGACACAAATAGTTCCAGTTTGTGATTGACAGACTTTTCAAGGACTTGTTATAAAAGAGCATTTTCCAGAGCTGGAGGAAATACTGAGATCTCTCACTGAAGTAAGAGCACCAATAATACAGCGTCAAATACTCAGTTACAATTAAAAGTGCTGCAATCATAATGTTACTTAAGTAAGAGTAGTATTTGATTAAGTTATTAGTGAGTGAGTGAGTTAGTGAGTGATTGAGTTAGTGGCCAAGCCCCAGCCTATATTATCGACCTGATCCACCCTCACAGCACGAACCGGGCCCTGAGGTCCTCTGAGCGAGGCCTCCTAAGGGTGCCCCGAACCAGGCTAAAGGGGGACCGTGCCTCTGAGGCGGTGGCCCCAAGGCTTTGGAACAAACTCCCCCAGACACTAAGAGCCTCTGCCTCAATAGAGATTTTTAAGGGGCAGTTAAGGACCCACCTTTTCTGACAGGCCTTTGGGGCGTCAGAGGAGGTGAGTGTGTAGGAGGTGTGTGTGTAGGAGGTGTGTGTGTAGGAGGTGAGTGTGGAGGAGGTGAGTGTGGAGGAGGTGAGTGTGGAGGAGGTGAGTGTGGAGGAGGTGAGTGTGTAGGAGGTGTAGGAGGTGAGTGTGTAGGAGGCGAGTGTGGAGGAGGTGAGTGTGGAGGAGGTGAGTGTGTAGGAGGTGAGTGTGGAGGAGGTGAGTGTGTAGGAGGTGAGTGTGTAGGAGGTGAGTGTGTAGGAGGTGAGTGTGTAGAAGGTGAGTGTGTAGGAGGTGAGTGTGTAGGAGGTGAGTGTGTAGGAGGTGAGTGTGTAGGAGGTGAGTGTGTAGGAGGTGAGTCAGTGAGTGAGTTAGTTAGTCAGTCAGTGAGTCAGTTAGTGAGTTAGTGAGTTAGTGAGTTAGTGAGTCAGTCAGTCAGTGAGTTAGTGAGTCAGTGAGTTAGTGAGTCAGTGAGTTAGTGAGTTAGTGAGTCAGTCAGTCAGTGAGTTAGTGAGTTAGTCAGTCAGTGAGTGAGTTAGTGAGTGAGTCACTGACCATCTGCTCGTTGCTCATCCTCTTGACGCCCAGCGGGGGTCCGGAGAACAGATTTCTCACAGCCAGGATTTCAGAAACCTGAGGAGTCACTCCGTTCTGCACCTGGAGAACAAAGACACTCCATTTATCACTCTTTGGTTCTATGTGCACACATGAAGCTAGAACACGAAGCTAGAACACGAAGCTAAAACACGAAGCTAGAACACGAAGCTAGAACATGAAGCTACAGTAGAACACGAAGCGAGAACACGAAGCTAGAACATGAAGCTACAGTAGAACACGAAGCTAGAACATGAAGCTACAGTAGAACACGAAGCTAGAACATGAAGCTACAGTAGAACACGAAGCGAGAACACGAAGCTAGAACACGAAGCTAGAACATGAAGCTACAGTAGAACACGAAGCTAGAACATGAAGCTACAGTAGAACACGAAGCTAGAACACGAAGCTAGAACACGAAGCTAAAACACGAAGCTAGAACACGAAGCTAGAACATGAAGCTACAGTAGAACACGAAGCTAGAACATGAAGCTACAGTAGAACACGAAGCTAGAACATGAAGCTACAGTAGAACACGAAGCTAGAACACGAAGCTAGAACATGAAGCTACAGTAGAACACGAAACGAGAACACGAAGCTAGAACACGAAGCTAGAACATGAAGCTACAGTAGAACACGAAGCTAGAACATGAAGCTACAGTAGAACACGAAGCTAAAACACGAAGCGAGAACATGAAGCTACAGTAGAACACGAAGCTAGAACATGAAGCTACAGTAGAACACGAAGCTAGAACACGAAGCTAGAACATGAAGCTACAGTAGAACACGAAGCTAGAACATGAAGCTACAGTAGAACGCGAAGCTAGAACATGAAGCTACAGTAGAACACGAAGCTAGAACACGAAGCTAAAACACGAAGCTAGAACACGAAGCTAGAACACGAAGCGAGAACATGAAGCTACAGTAGAACACGAAGCTAGAACACGAAGCTAAAACACGAAGCTAGAACACGAAGCGAGAACACGAAGCTACAGTAGAACACGAAGCTAGAACATGAAGCTACAGTAGAACACGAAGCTAGAACACGAAGCTAGAACATGAAGCTACAGTAGAACACGAAGCTAGAACATGAAGCTACAGTAGAACACGAAGCTAGAACACACAGCTAAAACACGAAGCTAGGACAAGTTCATGAGCAGAAGAGGAAGCAAGCCCTCAGACACGAGAGCGTGTGGGAGGAGTCAAAGGAAGTGGTAACACGGGATTAATTTACTTCCACCAATCATTTCCCCAAAAAGCAAAACAAGCTTTTATAAAAGAGACAGAATAAAAACTAATGATTTGAATCAGTCGTGTTCATTAGTTTAGCAACGCTGACATCTAGCGGCTGGATTTAATACATGTCACTAATTACACCTTTGGATTAAGATTAACGAAACACCTCAAGTCTTTGTTGTTATTGGATTAAACAGTTTGTAAAGAGGCAAGTCAAAAAGAGATGGGTCAAACTTTGAATACAGTTTTTGTATAATTTAGTTTTTTAAAATCATTTTAAATTAACTTAATCGTCTTCAAGATGATCTTATTAATCGAGCATAATCATGTGTAACTCAAAATCCAAACAGGATAATAAACCGTTTTAAACCGCATTAAACCGTATTTAATGTTGTCTTAATGTACATTATTTAATTTCATATTCTGTTCTTGTACACATCTATTTACATGTATATGCTTTTTACACTACTTTGTATTTTCAGAAGAATGTCATTGCCATTTCTCCACTGTAGCTGCTGACGATAACACCTTTGAATGTTTGATCTCCTTCCGGTGACTTCTGTGTTCTCTGGTGCTCTCTTACTTTGACGCAGAGGTTCTGCAGGCGTTTCTGCAGAACCCCCTCAGAGACCTTCAGGTTCTGCAGCCCAGAGAGGACGGGCTGGTGCTGCTGGACCCGCACCGAATGGGACACACCCCGAAACTCCAGCTGCTGCCGGGGGGTCCAGAAGTGAGGGATCAGGAGCTGCCGGGGGAAGAAATACCTGCAGGGGGGGGGGGCAAGTTTATTGATACAGCACTTTTCAACACAAGGCAACTCAAAGTGCTTTACCTTAAACATCAAAAAGCAAAGATAATAACACATGAGTAACAGGTACATGAATGGAAGTGACAGTGCAGTGTGGGATGTGAATAGTTCAATCAAAAGCAGCGGCAGAAAGAAACGTCTTGGATCTAAAGGTAGTCAGAGTTGCAGCGGACCGGCAGGTTTCTGGGAGTTTGTTCCAGATGTTTGGAAACACCCCTCACCAGATAGCCCAGGGGTCGGCAACCCGCGGCTCAGGCTCCCTTGAGCTTAGCCAAAAATAAGAAGGAAATAAAATAAAAGTATTTATAGGACTATTTATATTTTGTTGCGCAAAATGTTTCATATCTTGTATTTTGAGGTGATACTGTGACACGTAAATAAAAAACAAAACGGTTTTAATTAGATCAACTAAAATATGCGTCACATCCTGCTACGGTCCCGCGCCAGCGCCTTTTCCTGCAGGCGAATAACCTGACCCCCGGCTCGATGAGCGAACTATGGATACATCAAAGTATCACAGGAACACAGAGGGTTTCATTCTGCGTGGTTAGAGTTATCTGCTTTCACAGCAAACGATGCTGGCTTACCGGGATGTTTGATATGTGGAGAGAAGTTGTCAAAGGTGCTGCAGCCTTTACGTATTGGAGGGAAAACACGGGGGAGGAAGACAGCTGACAATCTTCACTCGTCTTCATTTCGTTCCTACCCTCACCTATGGTCATGAAGGATAGGTCATGACCGAAAGAACGAGATCGCGGATACAAGCGGTCGAGATGGGTTTTCTCCGCAGGGTGGCTGGTGTCTCCCTTAGGGATAAGGTGAGAAGTTCGGTCATCAGGGAGGGACTCGGAGTTGAGCCGCTCCTCCTTCGCGTCGAAAGGAGCCAGTTGAGGTGGTTCGGGCACCTAGTTAGGATGCCACCTGGGCGCCTCCCTAGGGAGGTGTTCCAGGCACGTCCAGCTGGGAGGAGACCAAGGGGTAGACCTAGGACCAGGTGGAGGGATTATATCTCTTCTCTGGCCTGGGAGCGCCTTGGGACCCCCCAGTCAGAGCTGGTTGATGAGGGGAAAGGAAAGTTTGGGGCTCTCTGCTGGAACTGCTACCCCCGCGACCCGACCACGGATAAGCGGGAGAAGATGGATGGATGGATGGATGGATGGATGGAAGGATGGATGGATGGATGGATGGATGGCTCCAGACAAAAAAAATGGTTGGAAAAGGTGGCAAAATGGCTCTTTTGGTCAAAAAGGTTGCAGACCCCTGCTCGACCCCGAGTCTTCCCGTGAGATTATAGTTCTTTAGACACTTTTCTAACCTTCTTACATTCCTTTCATCCATTTTGAATCCCCGGACAACACATGTTCCCGTTTTACTGTTACCATCTTTGACCTTTAAACCCACTTCAATTTCCAGAATTAGGATATTTAAACCTGTTTTAAGACTTAACAGGGAGGAAAGTAAACATTCATGGTGATGAAGAGCATGGTGATGAAGAGCAGGGGGGGACAGTGACTCACATCAGGAGGAACACCAGGTAGTTGGCAAAGGGAGGGATGGAGATCACCAGCAGAGGAACGGCCTTCCCCACGTCTCTGCGGAACTGAGGGACAGAAGAAGAGCTGCCGTCAGATCAAACATTTCAAATAAGTTACAGAGATACGTTAAAAAAAAGAGTCTGCTATTTGTTTGTTTAGCTTGTAAATGGCCTGCAGTTGGACTCCTTTGTTTGCTTCCGGAACATGGTGACATCACTACAGAACACTGCCGCTCCTATTGGCTAGCGCTCCAACACATTGTACGTGATAGGCTTTGGGGCGGGACATCTCTAAGCAGTTGACCAATCACAACAGAGCCGGCCAGCTAAATAAACATCAGCAGGAGAGGACTCTTTAAAGTAGAGACACTACATACTGATATACACCTGAACATCAGCTGGAGAGGACTCTTTAAAGTAGAGACACTACATACTGATATACACCTGAACATCAGCAGGAGAGGACTCTTTAAAGTAGAGACACTACATACTGATATACACCTGAACATCAGCAGGAGAGGACTCTTTAAAGTAGAGACACTACATACTGATATACACCTGAACATCAGCAGGAGAGGACTCTTTAAAGTAGAGACACTACATACTGATATACACCTGAACATCAGCTGGAGAGGACTCTTTAAAGTAGAGACACTACATACTGATATACACCTGAACATCAGCTGGAGAGGACTCTTTAAAGTAGAGACACTACATACTGATATACACCTGAACATCAGCAGGAGAGGACTCTTTAAAGTAGAGACACTACATACTGATATACACCTGAACATCAGCAGGAGAGGACTCTTTAAAGTAGAGACACTACATACTGATATACACCTGAACATCAGCAGGAGAGAACTCTTTAAAGTAGAGACACTACATACTGATATACACCTGAACATCAGCTGGAGAGGACTCTTTAAAGTAGAGACACTACATACTGATATACACCTGAACATCAGCAGGAGAGGACTCTTTAAAGTAGAGACACTACATACTGATATACACCTGAACATCAGCAGGAGAGGACTCTTTAAAGTAGATACACTACATACTGATATACACCTGAACATCAGCAGGAGAGGACTCTTTAAAGTAGAGACACTACATACTGATATACACCTGAACATCAGCAGGAGAGGACTCTTTAAAGTAGAGGCACTACATACTGATATACACCTGAACATCAACAGGAGAGGACTCTTTAAAGTAGAGGCACTACATACTGATATACACCTGAACATCAGCAGGAGAGGACTCTTTAAAGTAGAGACACTACATACTGATATACACCTGAACATCAGCAGGAGAGGACTCTTTAAAGTAGAGGCACTATACTGATATATATAATATTTGATAAAGCACTGACCTGTCGGAGCCTCTCCATGTCCCTGTAGGGCAGATCCTTGAACTGCAGTTTGTCAGAGTGCATGTTCACTTTTATCCTCTTCACCTCTTTGCAGTCTCTGAACAGCAGCTTGATCCCTGGAACCATTCAATTAAAAAATCAATGACGGTAATGTGAAAGCTGATGATAAGAAACATGTGGAAAGAACAAACTGATGGCGGTCAATGTTACAAATATTGCAAAGGTCGGACCCTCTCGTGTTGGAAAAGAGTATGATAGGGGACCTTTGAATGTTAGGAGTTCAAAGATGATCGTACCTTCCACAAAAGTGTGATAGAGCTGGAAGAAGCGAGGAAATCTTGTTTTGAGGAAACTTTCATATTTGGAGTTGACTATCTGGACGTATCGCCCCAAACCTCGTCTGACTTGAGACGTGGAGTAGAGTCTGCAGAGAGGGGGAATACGTGTATTTATTGCAAAACATCAGGAAGGAAAGTGGATTAAAATGCAGGAAATTGTCTCTTTTTTTATTTAAAAACACAGAATAACGAACATAGCTCATGCAGAGGTTACATTTTTTATTTTGCTTTTAATATGTAATTAATGTTGTGTTTTATATATTTTAAGTGTGTTGTTTTAACTATATATATATCCTTTATTTAACCAGGTAAAAGACTCATTGGGATTAAAATCTGTTTTCCAAGAGTGACCTGGCCAAGAGGGCAGCATGAACGAAGTTACAACAGATACAACACAAACAAGACAGGCGGACGAATAGAGCTGTAAAACACAAATAAAATGGCACGTTAGCCAGTCAATATGCGAAGTAAAACAAACTATTAAAAATCATTAAAAACTGGCAAAATTTAAAACGATTTTTGGATATACGAGCACGCACATCTACCAATGGTGTCGTGTTCTCTGTCCTTTAGGATGGACCTGAATTCCCCCATAGTGATTACATCTGAGAGTTTCAGCTCCTTCTGTACTTTGTTCCAAGCTGTGGGGGCCGCATATTTAAAAGCTGTTTTACCTAGTTTTGTTCTTACGTTAGGAACCAGCATCCGAATCAAATCTTGGGAGCGCAGGCCATAGACTTTCTCTAAACTCATTTGTTTTGACTGTGTAAAGTGTCTTTGAGTTTCCAGAAAAGCGCTCTATAAATAAAATGCATTATTATTTATTCTGGGGGACCTCTAACCTTTCGGCGATATTTGAGACTAACGTGCCTCATTCACCTGTTACACTTATCCTAAACGACCTGTCCAACCTGGGTTTAACCCTGACCAAAAGGCGAGCACTATTAGCCGGGCTTACAGTAGCAAAACAATTGGTTGCGACTCGCTGGAAGCCTCGCCATTCCCTCTCACGTAAGGTCTGGGTTCTAACATATCTAGACATATCGTATCTAGAAGTACCGACAGCCCGGGTACATGGGGCGAAGGAGTCAACACCAGAGATGTGGACTTCGCTCATTATGAACCTCAAAAGCATATTAGGATAACTATCTAATGGGGATCTGGATGGGGGGGTGTTGTGCTGTGTTGTACAGTATTGGATTTGATGTTATTGATTGTACCATTTGTTTAATACATAAAGCATTTGATCACAAAAAAAAATGAATAGTAATTATATAGGCCTTTAACAATAATATATGTCCCAATAAATCTTTGCTATGTACATTTTATTATTGATTTTTTAAATCATATATAAACCTACTTTTCCTTCACTTGCTTCAATATAATATTTACTAATAATATTGATAATAAACATTTCAGAAATATGAGTTTAAGGTATTAATATGAACAAAATTAGGAATTTTGAATATTTTTTTACATAAGAAATACGATTTGTTTAAACTATTATTTCAATATTTAAAATTCTTGCAATTACTGTATTATTAATTGTTAAAAATCATGTGAAATTCAAGTCATAATCCAAACAGGATGAAACCAGTATTTGTTACTTGCCGGTAAATATTATTTATGAGAAAAACAACCGGAAATCATCTCTCACCCTATTGATCTGCTGATATATTAACACATCAATAATTAAAAGGGTAGTTTAAGGCGTATCACAGCAATTAAAATATAGTTTAAATCTCATTTTACGTATTTTTAATTAACCGTTTTTGTGACAAACCGGTATATGGTTCCCTGAAGTGAAGCTAGCTAAACTTAGCAAGGACTTAAGTGAAATGCTCGCAGAATAACGGGACGGATAGTGGACGAAAGAGGCTTAAATAGCTCAGAACATACCTGTACTGACAGGGCAGGTAAGCGGAATAAAGTCCATTATTTATCCTGTTTGTCCTGAGACAACAGAACCGGGTCAAAGAGGAGCTCAGCAGCGCCATGTTGGATCACCGTAGTGACGGGCAGAGAGGGGCAGGGACCAATTGCGTTCCTTTACCGCAGTGACGTAAGAAAAGAGCACGTTCCTTTACCGTAGTGACGTGTGAAAAGAGCACGTTTATTTACCGTAGTGACGTTTGAAAAGGGCAAGGACAAATGACGTTTCTTTACCGTAGTGTAGGGAACAAACGACGTCTAGGTACCGTAATGTACATTGTCAGAATAAGTGAGAAATGGATTTAACTTCTGTTAGACAGCTATATGCCATACATATTTGCATACATTCACAGTAAATATTTATTCAGTATGATAGCTGTCCAACAGAAGTTAAATTAATTTCTCACTTATTCTGACAATGTACTTAACCCCAAATAAAAGAACCCAATAAAAAGAGTTGTTAAATAATAGTGAAGTCACGTTGTAATAACTCATCTCTCTCGATTTTCTATTTGTGCTTCGCCAAAAGCCACTGTGTCAAGTGTCCTACTTGGGTTGCCGTATGTAGTTGGCAAATATGGTGGACCATCTCGCACGCGCGCACTACAGAGAAGGCAGGGCTGCAGATCGGGTAGTGACTACAGGAGCTGCTCGGAACATCTCTCAACAAAAAGGTCCATAAATGTTTATTTCTTACTTGGCAACTCTTCATTTTTAAACAGACTGTATTCAAAACAGATTTTAACTGATATTGAGTTGATGTCGCAGTTTTAAACTTTTAATTATCTGCTTTATTTCGAAGTTTCGAGTTTTGGCTAGCAGGCGGAGCTAATGGCTAATAATAACGCATGGGCAATTTAGCAGGAAAGTTTGATTATTCCTTTTTTATTCATGTTTATTTTTAAGAAATGTGCCTTTTGCTACGATTAAACTGTGTGAAAATATAGCCACCAGATGAATACTCTTAATAACATGTATGTGAAGTTAGCGGCTAGCTTCAAAAGCCCTAGTATCGTGTACCTCTGAACGGTTTTACCCATAGACCGTATAGGCCTATATAAGGGTGTGTTCACACCTAATAGTCCGCTCTCTGGATGCACCAGACCACAGTTTGTTACATTGTTTCATTTTTCAGAAGGTTCGGTTTGCGTTCACACGGGCAAAACTCAAACGGACTATAAACTTTAAACACAAGTCATGTGCTCGGAAATGCTGTTCAACCATTGGTCAGACATTAAGGGGGTAAAAACGCAAATCCCGGCAATTTCTACCGGAGCCTCCGCCATGGAGCATCGGCACTTTCGGCAGGTTATTCTCATGCTGCTGTTAGTCTGGAGATCAATACACACTAGCGGCCCGCGCATATGATTATATAATCAGACAACGTCCGTTAAAAAACATTATTACATGGCTTTGTTGAATACTCGATTCTGATTGGTCAATTCAAAACACTTGACACGTTTTTAATCCAGAACAGACAGACCGATGTCAAGGATGTATTGACCGTTGTTAAGGACGCTCACATCTGCACAAAGAAGTCCGTTCGATTTAACTGTTTACAGTTTGGCTGAAACTAACTGACAAGACAAGAGCGACAAGAAAACAGCGGAGAAGTAACGGGCAGAAACCCTCCTTTTTACGCAGCGGTCCAGACATAGACATCAGACAGCGACACATATTCAGTGTGCAGTTACTTTGGCATTAGGGCAGGGATATCTAGATACTTTCCAAGGTTTGACATAATGAATTGTGCTACTTTTAAAGGAAGCAACGATGTTTTCAAATCTGTAATCAAAAAGCTCCTCAAAAACGCTATCGAATCAGTTCCTGCCGTTGCTACGTTAGTTCAAACAGTAACAACGGACTATTTTTCTTAGCGGATGCATGTCAATTTAAATCAATACATACAACTATTTTTTTAACAGCAGCCCTGTCTGTGCACACGGAGACCAACTGTCGTCCGGTGATCTAACCGCCTTCTGGAAAAGCTTCACTAGTACGTCGGTATGCAAATGCGCTTTGTGACACAAGTGACGGTACGCATTTCAGATTACGCACATAACCTGCGTACCAGTTATGTGCACCCCTGCACTACAGCAAAAGTATTCTCCGTCGGAACTTCCTGCAACAACACCACGCCGTTATCTTGTTATCCATTATCAAAGATGTTCTATTGAGAAGACGATCACTACGTGACAAAAGTTTTCAAAACCGTTTCTGGTCTTCGGTATTTCCAGACAAGTGGCTACTGAAATCAATCTTACTAGCTGCTGTCTGTGCAATCCTCGGCGCGAGTTGGCGGACTTTATTTTGCTTACTTTAACATCATTTTTCAAGGTGGGGCTAAGCCATTTCTTGGTATGGGTGTAGCCTACCCCAGCCATACCCTGGCGCTGCCACTGGTGGGATGTATGGGGCGGGCCATTCTTCACGCGTTAAATGCGTTAAATATTTTTAGCGCAATTAATTCAAAAATTATTTACCGCCGTTAACGCGATAATTTTGACAGCATTAATATATATACTAGATGACTCACCCGCGCTGCTGGCCAATGGAGACCGACGTTGCCACATGGCGGCTCATTCATAACATTATGTCTATGGTGCACTATTGAAATAACCGTAGATTGCTCAATTTTCAACCAATTTTCAAACGGTTTGGTTTGTTATCAACATGTCTTGTTGTCTCCTGTATCATAACTAGGGATGTCCCGATCACCTTTTTTTGCTCCCGATTCCGATCATTTGATTTTGACAATCTGCGATCTTTATGCAATGCATTAAGAGAAAAAAAAGGTAACAGATAACGGCTGTTCATCCAACGCGATGAGTTCAGCTATCTTGGCTGTTATTTTTTTGGCCTTTTCACTGTTCTGGGGCAGTTTCTCTTTCCTTTTGAAAGCCTCTGAAAGTGTCGGTTGTTTCAGTGCCGTTACCTGAGTGGCCGCTGTGTACTCGTGTTGTTGGTGGTGTTTGTTTCTCAGGTGGCGTGTTAGATTGGTCGTGTTGAACGTAGCTCTGTTCTTTCCACCACGCGGAACCTCCTTCTTACAAACATTGCATCTGGCTGTTACACTGCCTTCGCTTTCAATTTTATAATACCGTAATTTTCGGACTATAAGGCGCACCTGCATATAAGCCGCAGCAGCTAAATTGAATGATGTGTACATATATAAGCCGCACTGGACGATAAGCCGCAGGTGTTTTAATGTTTAATTACCATATGCAAGGGTTCGTGCACAGAGGGGATTGTCGGGAAAGAGATGGCTGTTTGAGGAAGCTCCCATTTATTAACATTTCAACAAACAAGTTGCATATTTGCATAACGTATTCAAGTGTTACCATTTAGTGCCATAGTAGCTACAGAACATGTAGGCCTACTGTGCTGTGTAAACTACTGTATCACATAGCGTTTCAGACACACAAACTTTTCAACTTTCAAACTTAAACGGTGCGCTCCCAGCGCACGTACCGGCAGTGATCGTTTGTGCATGAAAACTTCCTTTGCACAAACTGTTTCGCTCTCGTAATGTCTGTCTGTCTTGCTCTCGTTCTGTCTCTCGTACCACTCTCGGTTCCACTTTTACTTTTGCGCGCTACCTGTCTCACTCTTTTCCGGCCTCCAGCTTTTCCTGCTGGAGCCCGCCGCTTAAAGGTGGGGGGCGCGGACCGGCCATAGAGCCCATAGAGTTAAAGGTGGTGGACTGTAACCTGTAAAATCCATAGATTTAGGAGGTCCCCTAGTGGCCGTTAGCTGTAAAAATCCATAGATTAGCCGCACCGTTATATAAGCCGCAGGGTCGAAAAATGGGGAAAAAAGGCGCGGCTTATAGTCCGAAAATTACGGTACTTCCAAACTCCTGACATTTTCTCTGTCCCGACTCCCGAGTCACCAGCTGAACGTAGCCTCTCGTTAGCTTACTGCTACTATTAGACACTGCGCCCACTCTGTTGCCAGATTTGAGAGAAATAAGCAACCAGGTCTGAAAACAAGCCCAAAAGAAGCAACACATACATGATGTTGTGTCATTTTAAACCAAAACGAAGGCCTCAGGATGACTTTAAGACGTGAACATGGTCATTTTTGTCGATCTTTTGCAAAATCACGTGATCGGATTGGGACATCTCTAATCATAGCCATGCTAATAACGTTTATAATAAACCAAACCGTTTGTAAATCAGTCAAGATGTCAGCGAGTTAAGAGTATTTTTGTGCAGATCCCTCACCTTACAACAGCTGTAGCAGTAGTTGTTGACTGTGGTAAGATGGCCGCCGGTGAGCTACGCTGGCGACTCCCCCTTGAGCCATCTTGTGTTTATATATATATATATATCTATGTCTAGAAACCTGTCAGTGCACCTTATAGCTGTTTGCCAACCGCCATTAAACCAGAAGAAGAAACCTGTCCTTGTTTTCTTCCATCCAGTTTGACCAGCTGCTGTCCGGTGAATCTCAGCTGAAGATGGCGACCTCCTTCAGATTCGGATCCACGATCGACCCGTGCAGGACGGCTGCTGCTGAGAGAGCAGTGCTGCTGGAGGGCGAGGAAATAAGTAAAACTAAACCTATTTTTTACACATTTCATCATCCTAATTTATGGAATCAGATTTAAGACAAAGCAACACTTTCAATAACTTTTTACCGCCACACATACATGTAAATATATTTAATATGTATATACGACCCAAATATGTATACATGTTAATTTAATTCATTTCTTATTTAAAAAGTGACTTATTATTAATCTTCTGTGAATCGTCCTGTTTTTCATCCTCACCCTGTTGCTTTTAAACTATTGCTAATCTGATCTAATCTTATCTTAAAGTTGGCAAAGAACCACACCTGGATCCGGACACCCTCCTGCAGTGTCCCTTCGATAAGAACCACCTGATCCGGGTCTGCCGCTTCCCGTACCACCTGATAAAGTGCAGGAAGGTGAGTGACAGCAGCAGGCTATATATTTACATTAAAGTGGACGTGTAGGTACTTATTTTGTAAAGCAGGGGTGCCCACACTTTTTTGGCTGGTGAGCTACTTTTGAAATGACCAGCTCACCGAGGTCTACCAACCAAAAATAAAATCCCAAATTGCAAGGGTTGCTGAATAACACGTTTTATTTATTTATGGGATAATAGGGCTGCAACAAACAACTAATTTGATAATCGATTAATCTATCGATTAATGAAACGATTAATTGACTTTTCGGACTATTACTGTATGCCTTGCACAATTTCTCAAACGCTCTTATTTAGCCATCAACTTTTAGATGTAGCTTGAGGTTGTTTTAGGCATGTGGAAACTAACAAGACAATAAAGATGAATACTTGATTCAAAAATACATATATTATTGAATTAACTAAACACATTTTGAACAAAATTAACATTGCTTTTTATTTAAAGGGATAGTGGAAATCTGCGAATTTTGGGTTTAACTTATGTATTTTATAAAAAATAAGCATAATAAACAATTTTTTTTTATTTCATGGCCTAGTTTCATTTTATTTTCAATTTTACTGCGCCCTCTCAATGAAACGAAATACTTCGGGAATCGTCGGGAATCTTCGGGTGATGACGAGAGCAAAGGAAGACGGGCACAAACAATGGCGGACATTCAATAGCATTTGCATGTGAATAGCCGACCTTTATTATGGTGAATAGATGTGTTTTGTATGGCTGTAGTGCGACAGCAAATGCAGAGAATGGCGTATCGACGCATGCGTTTCCAAGAAACCCAGCCATTTGTCGTCAGTGGGTGAAATGTGTTCAGATAACACGGGCAAACTTCACGGAGCCGAAGCTGACGAGTAATTCGGCAGTCGTGTGCTCCCGTCATTTTACTGACGATTGTTTCGAGATTCCTCGGTCTCTAGCTCAAATTGAAAGTGGAATACATAAGAAGTGAGTATTTTATTATGTTTTCTTGTTGATTTAATGCATCATTAGCCTGTACCATTTTGTACAACGCCATTTATCCGGTACACAGTGTCGAATGTGTACACTACAGTCATCATATAGACATGATAGACTAACAGTACTGTGAGTACAGCCTACACTTGACAGGCAGCCTGGCTAGCCTAGGATTAGTGATGACATTACATGTGTGGATTCTGTGGAGTCTCAGCTTTAAATCGTATATCTTGTTTGTGCAGTTAAGATAGTAATAAGGGCATTTCTACCGTGTGTTGTGTGTAAAAAAGCGTTAGCATTAGTTAGCATTGTTTCGCTCAATGCTAATTCAAAGGCTTGGTATTACTCTTGTGTTTTTTCTAGTTAACAATTGTTCTTATTGTCAGTTAGCGGAGTTTCTTACCTTTAAAAGGGTATGAAACATTAATAGTTTCATAAATGTTAAGAAGCCCTGAGACATGTGAGAGAAAAAAAACTGTGGGAGGGGTCCACTGGGGGGACCTTCGGGCTTAACTGGTTAACAATGATTAATATTTGTAAAGGCTACAGGTGATCTTAAGATGCGTGAGCTATGCTTAGGGACCTACCAGTCAAGATTATTTGTGCGTAGGGGTGCATCATCTGGCTCCTGGTCATCCTCGCCATTGCCCATGCCGTGAACCATCACCTCGGGCTCGGGCTCGAACAAATAAGGACGTAATGGTCCATCTTCTGGCTCAATATTGTCACCATCGTCGCTTACTGAACCGGATTCAGATTCAGTTCCTAAAACAACATTTTCGTAGGAAAGCCGAGAGGATGTTTCTGACTCGCTATCATCACTGGATACCTCGTACAATCCTTCTTCTTTGTCTGGTATATTTGCCCTTCCACGTTCATTCTGCATAGACGCCATGGTTTGTTATCGTATCGTCTTCCTGAGTTTTCGTCACTTCCGGTTTGGCTGAGTCGAACATTTCGTTTCTAAAAAACTTCGGGGAAGCTGCAATAAAGTGCTTCTAACATGAGTAAGGCAATTATTATATTTTTTTAATCAGGTGTGATTGTTTTGGTACGTAATTATGCTTGTATATAAGTTAAAACGAAACTATTTGAGGTTCCATTTCCACTATCCCTTTAAAGTAAATGAATAATATTTCACATCAAAAGAAACAACAATGTTTTAACAAATCGTATTAAATAATCTGATGACAGGACTGTAAACAGAATAGCTGAAACTTTAACAAACTAAATAACTCAGTTACCTCTAATCATTAACCCATGTTTGTATCATGGAGTTAACTCCGTGTGTTGCTGCTGGCATACATAACACCTGACGTGGAAACGTTACTCGTGGATGGGGCTACAGAGCTGCTAGAAAGACAGTCGAACCCGGCAGAGTTCCCGTTAGAATATTTTTTCGCCGGTCAACATGTCCGTTAAAGTTTAAATCTTCCGGACAAAATGAGAAAAGTGCCGGTCAAAGGTCTTCTTTGTTATTTATTGAGCTTTAAAACAAATTGATATGATTCCATATTAAACAAATTATATTAGATAAACTATTCAAATGTGTTCAGTAATTTATAATAACACGGGAATAATAAACGGAGCACTCTCCCCCTCTCCTGACAGCCCGTCAGTATCATGCAGCTCGCGGATCAGTAATGAGTGACCCGACAGTAAAACTAAACACATCTATAACTAGTTTAGGTAGTTTGAGAGGTAATTAAAATAGCTACGCGTGATATTCTAACCTGAAGTGTGTGTTGTGTCCGCTCACCGCTGCATGTGATCATGCAGAGCTGCGTGTTGACTCGTCAGCAGCAGCTGATCTCTCTCTCCCGTCAGATTAGACTTCACTCGCGTTTATGTCCATATCGATCAGATCCAGCTAGTTCTAGCTAATGATATGACTACCTGCTTATTAAAAGACACCTAAACAATAAGTGTCGCTATGCAACCGGGTGAGGCCACAAAGTATAGCGCAGCATTATGTATTTGTTTACATGCCCACCGGAACCCCGAGGCATTACCAACAGATCAACGCACAATCAACCCACACAGGACATCTCTTTCTCCACATTACGTGTTAGACATTAGAATTGACTATTCTTGTCTGTCACATCAGTGGCGCAAATTGCGCAACTGATGCGGTATTGCGCTAAAAGGAAATTATTTTGAACGGACACTTTGACCGGAGAGATTTAGATTTGCCGGTCTTCAGCATATTTTACCGGTCGTAGTCCGGTAATTACCGGCTAACGAGAACTCTGGAACCCGGTGCATTCCTCCGTCTGGATGTGGAGCACTTTTGATAAATGTTTAGACAAATTGCTCGTGTTACCGCCCTTACATGCTAAACTCTCTTGGCAAGGAGCATTGTCCACCTCAAGACGGGTAAAGTTTAACCACACCTCGGAGCGCTTCTCTCCGCCATCCCCTCCGTGTGTTGCTGCTTGTAGCAGCTGCGTGTGTAAACTGCCCCCTCGCACACAGATGGGAGAGAGAAAGATCTCGTCTCGATTGGAAAGATCAAAAATACACCGACCATAGACGCATTTGTTTGTCTTTGTGCATGTTAGAAACGAGTTGGCGACACTAAGACTGCGAGATAATGTTTGTGTAGCAATAATACATGACCTTTCTCTTTCTCAACTCGCTACTCGGAGGGAAGTCGCTGCTATGCCTTGTGAACACTCCGATAATGCCTCTCCACGTTACCTTTCTTTGGCAGAGCGACGCTTGCTTTACAAATAAGGCAAATAACCTTTGAATGTGACATCACAAACAAATACTCTTCCTCCCATTCTGGGTGGAAGTGGTTTGTCTTTAGCTTCTTGCTCGGTCCCGCACTCATTTGGTTGTTTGTCTCTTGTTTGTCTCTTAATTTGAGTTTTCCCGGCACTTGACTGACTTTGTATCGCTTTGCATTCTGGGTTAACAGACTGGAAAGCGATAGGTCGCTTTTTCTGTCAATCAAGTAAACTCCTGAATTAAGTGGCAGGGAGGAGGGATCAAAACCTGTCGTGATCTACCAGCATCTAAAGTAAAGACGGGTAATATGGTTAAAAATCCTTTATTTTCATATAAGATCAGTGCATGACATTAAGGATTTTGGGAGATGGCCCTTTGGGCCGTCTAAGCTAATTTACAGATGGCCCTGAAAAATGCAGTCGAGAGGAGCCGAGCGCATCCGCGAAGCACACAAAATGGCGACGTCAGAGTTCCCGTAAGCCGGCAAATCTAAAGCGCTTCAGTTGCGCCACTGATGTGACAGACAAGAAGAGTCCATTCTAATGTCTAACACTTAATGTGGAGAAAGAGATGTCCTGTATGGGTTGATTGTGCGTTGATCTGTTGGTAATGCCTCAGGGTTCCGGTGGGCATGTAAACAAATACATAATGCTGCGCTATACTTTGTGACCTCACCCGGTTGCATAGCGACACTTATTGTGTAGGTGTCTTTTAATAAGCAGGTAGTCATATCATTAGCTAGAACTAGCTGGATCTGATCGATATGGACATAAACGCGAGTGAAGTCTAATCTGACGGGAGAGAGAGATCAGCTGCTGCTGACGAGTCGACACGCAGCTCTGCATGATCACATGCAGCGGTGAGCGGACACAACACACACTTCAGGTTAGAATATCACACGTAGCTATTTTAATTACCTCTCAAACTACCTAAACTAGTTATAGATATGTTTAGTTTTACTGTCGGGTCACTCATTACTGATCCAGGAGCTGCATGATACTGGCATAATAGATTGCCCGATCGGGCAACCAGCAGGTGAGGCTTCATTGCCCGAGCTAAATACTAGATGGCCCCGGGCCATCGGGCAGTCCTTAATGTCGAGCCCTGAAGATAAATCTACATAAAGCACCTTTTCTGCTATTTTGATAACGGATGTTGCTGTTTTTTTTAGATAAAAAAACGTAAGCCGCTTTTTAAAACCTAAACATGTATGTGAAGGTAGCTGCACGCCTCAAAAACTAGGAACATGAAACTATGGATTGGTTTTTACCGCAACATTTCTATTACGATATATAAGTGATTTCATATCGCTAACAATCTAGATCCCCATAAAGCATCGTTCTGTTGGATCACCTCTATACCTCTGTGTGAATTACATGCATGACATGAGAGGGAAGTAAAGTAACAACCATATTTCTTCACGGACAGAAAGAACAGGAGCGCCGCAGCACACGCTCCCTTCTGTTTAACATGTGTGCAATGTGCAGAAGTGGACAAATATAATGGGAAGAAACCAGTCAGAGGTTTACCACGGGATGGGTACCGAGCCCCGGCATTAAACGGGCCCCGGGGCTGAATTATTAAAGACCCTGGTTCCGTTAAGCTCCGACGTTATCGGTCTTTTCATCGGTGCTGGAGACGTGTGAAAAATATGTCATGTGTATTATTGCTACACAAACATTATATTGCAGTTTTAGTTTCGCCAACTCCGTTTCTAACACGCAAGGAGACTGCAACATGCGTCTATGATTATTTTTTTGTATTTTCGATCTTTCCAATCGAGACGAGATCTCTGCTTGCGAGGGGGCGGGGCAGTTTACACACACGCAGCTGCTACATGCAGCAACACACACACGGAGGAGAGAACGCGCTCCGAGGTGGTTAAACTTTACCCGTCTCGATCCTCGTTGCCTAAAGCGCAATAAGAGTTTAGCATGTAAGGGCGGCAACACGAGCACTTTGTCTAAACATTTATCAAAAGTGCTCCACATCCAGACGGAGGAATGCACCGGGTTCCACCGTCTTTCTAGCAGCTCTGTAGCCCCGTCCACGAGTAACGTTTCCACGTCAGGTGTTATGTATGCTAGCAGCAACACACGGAGTTAACTACATTATAACTGAGTTATTTATTTTGTTAAAGTCTCAGCTGTGTTTACAGTTCTGTCATCAGATTATGTAATACGATTTGTTAAAACATTGTTGTTTCGTTTGATGTGAAATATTATTTATTTAATTTTAAATAAAAATCAATGTTAGCTTTGTTCACAATTTGTTTAGTTAGTTTACCTTATTTTCTCCAAAAGAACCGATAAGAGTCCCGTTAAAACCTTAACGATACCCATCCCTAGGTTTACCACGACTCGATACCTTTACATTTTGACATGCTGTATAGTGTTTTTTAAATGAAAAGACTACATGCATCATGAAGGCAGATTCCACTGTACTTCGTGCATTAAAAGGATCTTTGTGTAGAGCTAACACAGCTGTCAGATGCATGAGTTCTTGCAACACACAGCTGTCAGAACAATACCTAAACCCCAGATGCAACAGCTCTGCTGCATCCTACACGCTTTAATCTCCGATCCCCAGCTTCACTCCATCGTGCAATAATCAGAACGTGGATCTACGGAAATATTGCTGCGGCACAGTTTTGCAGCAGAACATTTAAATATCGTCATTTTTGCACAAGGTGAACTGAACATTTGTTGTTTACACTAAGGAGTCTTTTAAAAGTCTAAAGAAGCGTAGAAGAAGCTAGAACATTGGATATTGCATTGATTGGTAACATTACAAAGACCTCTTGAATCTAGTCGCCTTAAATGCAGAAGCCAAGACTTAAAATACTCATTTACCAACAACAGAGTATTTTAGCTTTACTTAAAATAAAAACACATTATGCATCGTTTTGAAGGAACTTGCACACAAAAACGTTATCAAATGTTAACGGTGGGGTAGGTCATTCACTTTAGAAACACTTGTTATATTCCATGGAATGCTCAAAACATCCCGATGGCAATGAATATCTGAAGTGCTTTGACAATAAATATATAAAAATATCATCAGTGGAAGCTGTGGCGCTGTAAAAAGCACGACCAATCATCTGAGCCGGCTAAAGTAACTGGATGGCCTACCTGCCTGTCAGCCTTCCATCTGGGCACAAACTCACCTCGTGCCCTCATTGGTCATGTGCGCGTTCCTGTGTGTTGGGGGAGGGGCTCTGTGAGGAAGTGGCAGATTTGTTTCGGATGTGTATTTTCAAATTCTAGCGAACTCTAGCTGGTTTCTCCAAAATGACCTACCTACCTTTTTAAGGAAGTCGCCGCTTCAGAAGCACAATGCCAAGATTTAGCTCTTTGATTTCTTTGATATAACGACATGGTAGGGCTGTGCGATTATGGCATAAATCATAATTACGATTATTTTGGTCAATAATTGATATCACGATTATTAAATACGATTATTCCATTTATTGAACTTTAAAACAAATAACAATTTGAACAGTATCTTTTTAACTGTTGATCACCCTGAACGTATAATGCAACTGAAAAACCAATCATAAAATAAATGATACATTTAAATAAATAATATCAAAATAATAAATACCAACAAATATTTGAGCGCACTTCCACAAGCTAATAAACATATATAAATAAAAATAAATTAGATCAAATATGTTGCCGTGCACTGTCACAACCTAGCAAAGCAAAATAATTGTTTTTTTCGATTATGTTGTTTTCGTAATTGAGGCAGGCCAAAATCGTAATTGCGATTAAAATACGATTAATTGCACAGCCCTACGACATGGAAATCTTTGGATGTAAAAAGGTAAATCCCTCGGTTCCAGCAGCAGCAGGTCTCCTCTCTGGCTGATGTACAACCACCCAGAACAAAATATAAAAACACATTATGCATCAGTTTTAAGAAACTTGAAAACAAAAACAGTAGAAAATGTTCAGGAAGCACGACCCCAGCTCTTTGGTTCTAAGATATAACGACATGTAAAGCTTTGTGTGTAAATGTAAACGCCTCCATTACAGCAGCATCTCCTTTTGTCTCTGGCTGATGTAGAACCACCCGAAGCTGGCGAGCGAGTTGAAGACGTGCCCGTACAACGCTCGTCACCTGGTGCCTCAGAACCAGCTGATGTCCCACACGGAGACCTGCGAGGACCGCATCTCTGTGGACATTGAAGACCGTGAGACATCTCCTTTTATACCGGCTCTGTTGGAGAAACTGGTCGTAGTCATCACATACAGAGCATCAGCTAGTTCCTGAACAGTGTCCTTCACATGCTGATATCCAAGAGAGGGAGTTACACAGTCACAAGATGGAGGAATAGAAAGCAGTATTCAATGTTTACTTCAGATTAGCTCCACGTCAGAAATGAGCATGCTTGATGTCTATCTCCATAGAGGCTGAATCATCATGTTAATCACATAGCTATCATATGCCTCAAACAGTCCTGATGCTCTTCTAGGTAATCACACATCCTGTCATGTTCACAGCTACAGTTGGGATAACTTTGTTATCATGTGACTCTCATGTTGGAAGAGGACATTCAGGATCTTCCCCTTGTTACATATACATCATCTAAAAATCTAACTTTTTCTCAAAAATCTCAAAAATATGACTTTTTCTAAAAATCTCAAAAATATGACTTTTTCTAAAAAATCTCAAAAATATGATTTTTTTTTTTCTCAAACATCAAAAAATTCTGACTTTTTCTCCAAAAATATGGCTTTTTCTCAAAAATCTCAGAAATGTAACTTTTTCTGAATACTTAACATTTTTAATAATCCCTCGTCACCAGTTTGAGCTTCAATCTCAGATTAGCTCCACGTCAGAAATGAGCATTAGGTTAATCCCAAAGCAAAATTCTGACTTTTTCACAAATTCTGACTTTTCACCAAATTCTGACTTTTTTCTCAAAATCACAAAATTCTGACTTTTTTCTCAAAATCACAAAATTCTGACTTTTTCACCATCTAAAAATTATGACTTTCTTAAAAAAAATGTTTTTTTTCTTCTGAAAATCAAATTTCTCCAAATTGTGACTTTTTCTCAATCTCAAAATGTTTGACTTTTTCTAAAAAACAATCTCAAAATGTTTGACTTTCACAAAATTCTGACTTTTTTTCTCTCAAAATTCTCACTTTTTCTCAAAATTCTCACTTTTTCTGAATACTTAAAAATGTTAATAATCACTCGTCCCCGGCTTGAGCTTCAATCTCAGGATCCATGTATTTGTGATCCTCTCCAGAATGGAAGTAGTCATCACATACAGAGCATCAACTAGTTCCTGAACAGTGATTTCTGAAAAAGTCAGAATTTTGCTATGTGATTAACATGATGCTCATTTCTGACGTGGAGCTAATCTGAACTAAACATTGAATACTGCTTTCTATTGTATTCTATCGATTGTAACTCCCGTTACACAGTCACAAGATGGAGGAATAGAAGGCAGTATTCAACTCCCGTTACACAGTCACAAGATGGAGGAATAGAAGGCAGTATTCAACTCCTGTTACACAGTCACAAGATGGAGGAATAGAAGGCAGTATTCAACTCCCGTTACACAGTCACAAGATGGAGGAATAGAAGGCAGTATTCAACTCCCGTTACACAGTCACAAGATGGAGGAATAGAAAGCAGTATTCAATGTTTAGTTCAGATTAGCTCCACGTCAGAAATGAGCATCATGTTAATCACATAGCTATCATATGCCTCAAACCGTCCTGATGCTCTTCTAGGTAATCATACCTCCTGTCATGTACTCAGCTACAGTTGGGATACCTTTGTTATCACTTACTCTGCCGATAGGAGAGGATGCTGGCGTGGTTTGTTCGCCGCTTCTCCACCGCTATCCTACTTTCAGTTCGTGTTTGAACATATTTGATCTGATTTTTCTGTATACATCTGTTAGTTATATATAACATCTGTCAATATTGGCTCCAACTGAATCGCTACTTTGTTAAAGTAGTTTTCCGTTACCTATTTGCTTTTTCCTGCGTACCGGACCCTAGCCTGCTAGCCCGTTTGCTACCAGCCTCCAGTCGTTGGCCGTCAACAATCTCGTCAACTCCCTGCCGTCAGCTGGCCACTAACATTGGACACCCTTGTCTCTGCACAACACCGCTACGGTGGGAAAAAATATTTGTAGCTGTCCCGGTGCGGAAAGCCCTAGTAGCCGTGACCGCTACCTCTACAGCTAGCCAACCTCCAGTCACCGGGTCGCTACATACTAACGCTAGCATTGGACCGCTCTCCTTCTTTTCGTCTCTTAGCCTTCATTCCACTGATTCCTGCAAAATCACTGATTGTCAACAGAAACTTCGCTACTCACCCCGATCACCTGCCATGATGTGTGCTTTCCTGCTGTCTGACATTAATCCTCTCAAGAGGTTCGTTGTGAGCTGCATCCTTCCCGGCCGACATAACTCTGTCATACTCCATCGCGAAACTACTCCAGCTAAAGCACACATCCACTCCACCATGCCCGACGATGATCTCCGCCATCAGTGAGCATGGACTGCTACAACGACCCAAATACATTCACCGAAGCTCCGGGCGAAAGTTTGTTTACTCCCGGTCCGGTCATTCCATCTCATCCATCTGGTCTGCTGCGTGCACTGACACACCCCCTCCATTTCATCATCACAACAACCAACACGCACTCTGCCTGCCTACGCCCCCTTCCCAAAGCACCCCAGCCTGTTCAAACTCAACCTCATCTTAAACTTGCTCTGTTTAACACCCGGTCTCTAAAAAACAAGAGTCTCATTCTCAATGAATTCATCACTGACAATAATCTGGACTTTCTCTGTATCACAGAAACTTGCCAAAAACCACAGGAATACTTCTCCCTCAACCAGACAACACCCCCAGGATACACATATATTGAAAAATCACGCCACCATGGGCGTGCAGGTGGAATTGCCACAATTCTAAGAAATAATATAAACAATTGCAATAAACATCCCTTGCCCCTCCTCATTTGAACACCTTGCATTTAAACTGTCTGGTCAAAAACCCCTGGTTACAGCAGTCATTTACCGTCCCCCCAAACCAAACCCTGCTTTCCCCTCGGATCTTGCTGAATTCCTCACACAACTTTGCTCTATCTCTCCATCTGTATTGTTACTTGGTGATTTCAATATTCATGTCGACTCAAACGACTCCAATACCGCTTCAGAACTCCTGGACATACTCAACTGTTTCAATATCACACATGTTGATTTTCCCACCCATAAAAAAGGTCAATCAATGTTTATTTATATAGCCCAATATCACAAATGTTACATTTGTCTCAGTTTGTACAGAATATCAGTATGACAATACGACACCCTCTGTCCTTAGACCCTCACATCGTACAATTAAAAACTTCCAGGTCACAAACTGGACCTGATCTGCACCACTGGCATCGCCATCAGCAACCTGACCACCTATGACCTCACCATCTCCGATCACCTGGCCCTCATCATGGACATCCTAACCACAACCCCCCTCATCAAGCAGAAGCGCACCATATAATTCTGGAATATCAAGTCCATACACCCCTCCCTCTCCTCCCTATTGGCTGACACCATCCCTGACTCCACCGTCACCCAGAATGTTTCCCCTACTGACCTGGTCAACACCTACAACAATGCTCTCTCCTCCTGTCTCAACCAACTCGTTCCAATAAAAACCAAGTATGTCTCTTTCACTCACTCGGCCCCCTGGTACACCGATCATCTCCGTTGCCCATCGCTAACCTCCCATTCCTGTAAAAAATTCTGGAGCGAACTGTTGCCTCCCAACTAAAATCCCATCTGGACTGCAATAACCTTCATGAACCTTTTCAATCTGGTTTCCGTACTCGCCACAGCACAGAATCTGCCCTACTCAAGGTGACCAACGACATTCTCCTCTCTGCTGACTCTGGTTCCCTCTCAATTCTCATTCTCCTTGACCTAACAGCCGCATTTGACACGATCAACCATTCCATCCTCATCAACCGCCTCCAGTCTTCCATTGGCATTACCGGTACTGCCCTCTCCTGGTTTAAATCCTGTCTCTCTGACAGACATCAATTCATCTCCATTAACAACTCAATCTCCCATAGCTCCCGTCAATCATGGCGTCCCTCAGGTTTCTGTACTTGGTCCCCTTCTGTTCATCATCTACATCCTCCCAATTGGACAAATCCTCCGTCATCACCAACTCCAGTTCCACTGTTATGCTGATGACACACAGCTCTACCTCTCAACAAAATCAATTTCTCCAACCACACACTCCCAGCTCAGCACCTGCCTTACTGACATTCACATTTGGATGCAAAACTATTTTCTAAAACTTAACTGTGACAAATCGGAACTTATAATCATTGGCCCAAACTCACTTACCCGCTCAACCAGCGATGGCTCCATTGTCAACCCCTCCACTCACATCGGTAACCTTGGCATCATCCTCGACCCCACCCTCACTTTCCTCCCTCACGTCAACCAGGTCACAAAAAACGCATTCCTCCATTTTAAAGAACATCGCCTGCATCAGACCCTCCCTCTCATCGACCGCTGCTGAAACTCTGATCCATGCCTTCATAACACCCCGACTGGATCACCTGCGTTCACACTAAAATGTCAATATGTCCAAAACTCAGCTGCCCGCTTGCTCACCTCCACCCGACACTCCGACCACATCACCCCTATCCTCCATGACCTCCACTGGCTCCCCATCAAACACCGCTTTGACTTTAAAATATTACTTTTCACTTTCAAAGCCCTCAACAACCTTCCCCCCCCCCCCCCCCCCCCCTACCTCTGTGACCTCATCCAACGATACAACCCCACCCGTCGCCTCAGGTCTGCTGAAGCTAACCTACTGCAGCCCATCAGGACAGAGCTCCGGACCTGGGGTGACAGGGCCTTCGCTGCAGCCTCCCCCACACTCTGGAACTCCCTCCCCAGCCACGTCAGATCCGCCAACACTCTCACATCATTCCAACAATCCCTCAAAACTCACCTTTTCACTCTTGCCTTCAACTCCTAATCAACTAACCCCTTGCCCTTATTCCTCCTAGCTTAGCACTTTCTACTTTTGTTGTTATTTTGTTTTACTTGCTTGTAAGCGCTTTGAGCACCAGGAAAAGCGCTTTATAAATGTAATGTATTATTATCAGTTTACTCTCATGTTGGAAGATACATTCAGTACATTGTGCTCTGTTTGCAGGCGGCAGCACCAACCGACTGATCCCCCTGCAGGTCAGCACCTGGGTCAACCCCGACATGTCCGAGGACTGGGACCATGGTAATGTTCCGTTATATAATAATGCTTTAAATCCTTCTCGTTATTCTCCCAGATTTGCTGTCATGAGCATCCGATCCAACTTTATTACAGCACATTTAAAAACAACAGAGTTGACCAAAGTGCTGTACATCAATAGATATATAAAAAGCAGTATAAATTAGTGTTGCACGGTGTACCGATACTTGAAAGGTACCGCAATACCCTGCCGTTAAAAACGTTACGATTCCTCAGTTTCATTAGTATCGGTACTTTAAGAATGACGGGGAAAAGTACTCCGGTGAGAAAGTGCTGTTTTAATAAGAGCCGTGTGTGTTCAGCGCTCTGCTTCCACTCCCTGCACTGCAGCCCCTCCCCTCTCAAGCACGCTCTAAGTCCCTCCCCTCTCAAGCGCGTTCTAAGTCCCTCCCCTCTCAAGCGCGTTCTAAGTGCCTCCTCTCTCAAGCACGCTCTAAGTGCCTCCCCTCTCTCGTGCACGCGCTAGCTGCCAGAGCATGTGAGAAAACGAGAAGCATGGCTGCAAGTGGGACTGCCGATGCGCCTCGGCTTGTTGACAAAAAAGACGCCAGAAGCTAAATGTGGAAGTATTTGAGCCATATCTCTGACAGTGAGGGCAAGCCTACGGACACCACGAGGCCCGTCTGTGAGACATGTTTTAGATCCCTGCAAACCAAGGGAGCCAACACATCAGACTTGGCTAAGCACCTCGTCGACCGGCATCCAGAGCTGTTTAAAGAATTTAAAGACAGACAGGTTAGCGAATGTGATAGATAACATAATTACATCATGCTCAAGCCCAAGCCCTCAAATCTAAGTCCAACAAGTGTAATTTATTTTGTGACAAACGAACGTTTAACTAATACCTGTCTAATAACTGTCTAATATGGCTATCTTTTTAGCTAACTTACCAATGTGGCTAACATCTGCAATGTACATTTTGTCAATAATTATTTATATTACTGTAGCCTACTATTACATGTTAATAACATATAAAGTTAACTATCAAAGAAATCACCAACTCAAGTATAAAGAAGAGACCATGTTGTAAGAAAACACAAGAAAACCATACTTATACATGAGAGTAACGGCACGTCCACACAGCAGCGTTAAAAAATCTTCCAACGTTGCCTCACCTTTCGCCGAACTGCATTGTGGGAAGCAAAACGAAGATTTCCAGGATTTTCAGGATTCAAAAGTTGAGCAATGTTCAACTTTTGAAGCTGAGGTGGAAGCGTCAGCCAATCAAATCCCGTTTATGCAAATCTGACAGTACAAGCGCTAGCCAATCAAACTGCGTGCAAGCTAGGAGAGCCAGACCGCAGTTCATTTCCTCATATTCCAAACGAGAAATTACGGTAGCAAATCACCCGGTTCTTTACGACCAGAACTATTTACCGGGATACAAACCGGAGGAACCAGGCATGGAGGGAGGTGGCAGAGGCAGTGGGTGAAACTGGTAGGTTTTCGCCTGTTTGGGGATTTTATATCCAGTTTACTTCGTTTTAACATTGCTAGCAAGCAGGGGGGCTTTAGATTCATGTGATTGGTTGTTGGTCGCGTTGCTCGTTTTTAACTGTGTGGACGTTCCGTAACACATACTTCACTTCCGTGCAAAAAGTACGGCCCCGCCCACTTTTGGGGGAAACAACGCTGTCATTTGAACGGCGATCGAGCCTGAAGCCACAGAGCTCTTCTGTTACTGTCCTTTCTTCTTAGAGGAAGTACAGAAACACGTAACTCTGGATTTGTTTTAATGTTTGAGGAGCAATAAGCGACGCAGCAGCTTGTTGGCATGATAACACAATTATGTTCCGCCTCGCTCGTGAGAGTAACAGCTGGCGAAATTACAGCCTCGCCTACTGATTTTAATTTAACCATATATCGAGCCCGATCGTCGATTTCCAATGATTTAATGTATTGTTGCCATTCAAATGACAGTTTTCCCCCAAAAGTGGGCGGCGCCGTAATTTTCGCCCCGAAGTGACGTAGGTGTTAGGCTGCGTTTCACTTCTCTTATTTTTCATTTCCTCGCTCCTCGGTCTCGGTCTCACCGGAAGTTGATTTGTCTGCGCCATCTTGAGTACCGTCCCAATGGCCTTATTTCTGCCGGAGGAGCGAGGAGCGATAATGGAGGAGCTATAACCGAGGAACCACCAGACCATCCTTCGATGAAATCCTCAGACACTCGCCCCGCCCCCTTACTGTGTATCGCTCACTGATTGGACGATGCAGCGCATGCACTGATCTGATGCTTCTTGACATGAGAGCAGTTTCCCAGCGGAGTGAAGAAAATACATGAAACTCACGGGAGTCACTCCTCAGTTTATACCGTGTTTTGTTTCAATTCATGTATCATTTAGTTACAAATAGGGATGTAACGATATATCGCGGTAAATAGATGTCTCAATACCGTCGTGAGACTGACAAAATCCTTTATTTAACCAGGTGGTCCCATTGAGATCATCGATCTCTTTTTCAAGGGACACCTGTCCAACATGGCAGCAAGTAGGTTACAACATGAACATAAAACAACAGAACACAAAAGGACATCATATTTACAGCGCTACATGTACACACCTAGAGACATTGACAAGTACCAATAGTATGTTTATACCTCGCCCTGTCAATAAGCCTCACCTTTTTGGCAACAACGGTATTGTTGTTGAAGTGGTGGAGAGACAATGCACAGTTTGACCCACTGCTGTCACCCATGGCCAAATCTCTCTGTCCCAGCAACATCAGTACCAAGCAAGAGAGTTGTTTCCACAGCAGGGGATTTTGTAAACGCCCAAACATCCCAGCTTCTACCTGGAAATGTGGACATGCTCATATTCCTAGAAGATAACCTTGATGCTGCTGAGTGAGTGAGTTAGAGTTCAGTTACTTGAACAACTAAAGTGAAACTTGATTTATTCTATTGCAGGGTCTGATTATTATATTGATGACACTTTAAAATACTACTATCTACTAAAATGCTGTACAAACCAGAAAATTCACATTTTTTCCTTTATTTTTCAATATCGCGATAAATATCGTACCGTGAGTTTTTGGTATCCTTACATCCCTAGTTACAAATATGTGGTATATCTAAACAACAAAGTGGTCAAAGATCGTCAGACGATCAGCTGTGCAGCGTCATCACAAACAGACGTCGCTTCACGTGACGCTCCGGAGGAAAGGACGTCCCATTGCTCTTAAAACTCATTTCCCTGCTTCTCGTGGTTTCCTTGCGTCTCTCCATGCTTCCCTGGTGGGAGGGACTAGTCGCAGGGAAACGACGCAAGTGAGGGACGCAAGGAATCCATTTAACCGAAGTGAAACGCAGCCACAGTCTCATGTATAGCCACAGACTGAAAAACTCATACACGATGTAAAAAAATATATATAGATAAAGAACACAAATAGAGAAACAGAATGCTCTAAAAGTCCTAATTACATGAGACAATTAAGTATTTAAATGGGTTATGACTAAGATATCTATGAATCTGTCCTGATGTATCTCAGCCTGCTGTGGTGAAAGTAGAGCGATTGACAGCTGTTTTACTCAGAATTTACTACATTTCGTTTTAGACATGAAGAACACATTAATATACAGTGTAATTCAAATATGTCACTACTTTTGTGATCCAAAGACTTTGGTAAACAAATCTAAAACACCAAAAAAGTTAATTTGTGTTTTCACAAGAGTTTTGAAGATTTTCCGAATATCGGATTTCAAATGTTAAAGGTCCCATGTCATGCTTTTCCGGTTATCACCCGTCCCCTTGTGTTATGAAGGTTTTTATGCATGTGAACGGTCTGCAGAGTCAAAACCCTCAAAGTACACCCTGTAGCGAGTAAAACTCTAACACAGAAAATAACTCTCCAAAACACCTCGTTGGAGATTTCTCATGTTCTTCCTGGACATTGTGACGTCTGAACACAGTAGCCACGCCCAGAGCTATGACCAGGCTGATTGGTCCAAATTAACCAATCCACGGACTTCGTCACACACACACTCAGTGCAGGCAGCTCTGCCGATTTCTCCTCCCTGGCTGCAGGCTGATAACAGACAGTTCTCTCTGCAGACCCATTCTCACAGCGTTTATCAACCGTTTTCTTACTCAATATCAAGCCACACTTATAGTTTTTACTTCGACTGTGACTTTGTGTGTGCTCAGGATGAGTTTGGCTGTGTTTCGCTGTCGCTAAACAAGGAAACCACACCTCCACGGAGCTCAGCGCGATTCACAACGTCAGGGTTAACCCTAACCCTATAGATATAGAGTTGTAGTAAGTAGATCGCTATGATTTACGTTTATGCATAGAGTAGATTCTTTTAATTACATTTCCTTTTTTGTTTTGTGTATTTTTTACATTTTGGATTTGCTTGGCGAGCTATTTTTAGAACATGCCCCGTGGGCGACTCACGTTGCCCCTGCGGGCGACTAAGTGCCCGTGGGCACCGTGTTGGCTACCCCCCGCTCCAGAGGGTTAATAGAAAGCAATGAAATACAAGGACATAAGTTAGAATACACCAAACTACTACAATTTAAATGTACTATAGTCATTAACTAATCTGCACAACAGCTGAATTTCCTTTTTGGTATAAATGTTGCAGGCGCCTGCTTCTTATGAAACATGCATGTGTTTCTAAAGTGACCCTAAGGGGCTTGAGATGCACAATATGTAACCTGATCTTCTCCCCTTGCACACTCTGAACATTTGTCTGAAGGTAACACGGTTTTATTTTCTTTGTTTCTTGCAGAGGTCGATGACGCGGCGCCTCCATTTGTGTGGGGGGTGAACACGGTGATAGATCATCAGTAAGTGCTCTGATTCAGCTTAAAAACGTCATCATTAACAATCAAACTCTACTTTTTAAATAGTGCACAGTATCCCCTGTCTTCTGTCTCTCATTGGTTACTTCATCAGGGTTTGTAAAGTCAACATTTACTGAGAAAAGAGAGACGTTATCATTTCCAAAAGTACAGATGTTCCTGTCTGGAGACAGTCGTTAAAGATAGTCAAGTGTAAAGATATTCTTTCACCTTACTTCTTAGTACAGTTAACATGTGTTAATTCCTAAAACATGGCAAGTAGATTTGAATGAGTGTGTTTTGACATTGCGTTGTAACATCTTTAAAAATGCACTAACGTAGGTCCTGATTGGACGGCATTACAGAACATTATTTAATCTAACTTGCCCTAAAATGTAGGAAACCCTGATTTTACAGAGCCATAAATTACCAGAAAATAGCAACGAGTGTTTGAGCTTTGACAGGATAATAGTACAACTTAAAAAAACTCACATTATCCATCGTTTTGTGCAACAATTTTAAAGAACTTACAAACAAAAGCGGTCAAGCGTAGAAGAAATCGTCGCTTTCGAAGCTAAATCCCCAAGAATTCAGGACTTTTGGAAGTAAAACATTTATTTTCCTCACGGACGGCAAAAAAAAGTCGATTTAAAATAAAAACAATAATTGTGGCTTGATATTGAGTAAGAACATGTTTTTATGAACCACACAGCTGCCGGTCTTCCACGACCGGACAAAAAGACGTGCTGCAGGCACGAAACACACTACCAATAGAAATACATTGCTTTTAAAATCGTTCTGTGTGAAACTAAACAAAGGGAGAAATCGTGTTGGTGAACACGAATCAATAGATTACATGTCGTGACTATAAAGGCCCGGGAACACCAAGCTGACACCAAAGAACTGACTCAGACGGACCCGCCTGTTGCGTCTCCTGTGTCGCACTGGAACACACCGCAAAGACTTCAGCCGACGGCCAAGAAGCACGAGTGGCAATAACTGTCCTTACCAGCAGGCGGCGGTAGTGTGTATTCGTCATTCAAAAGAGGCAACAACCGGAAGACAGACTGCGTGATAACCGAGAGAAGAAGAACAGACTGCGTGATATAAACAAGCAACAAATAGCGTTCCATCTTCCCTCTACAGCGAGAAGCTCACGGGGCTTTCCCGAACCTGTGTCGAGAGCTGGAGTTCAATGACATCTCAGATTTGCCTTCCTAATCGTTTGTTTGGGTCCCTCACTTCCGTTTCGCTTCTCATGCACTGATTCGCTAGCTGAACAGCCAATCAGAGTGATTTCTGTTGCCGACAGCCTAGCGGAAGGCGTCGGCACGGCCGAAAAGACACGACGGGGCGGGACACCAATCTGAGTAGGGCGTGTCGACGCTCATCGTCGGCCTGACGCCCACCGACGCCGATAATCGGCCTGGTGTGTCCGTGCCTTAAGGTCCTTACACACCAAGCCGATTTCGGCCGTCGATAGATGTCTGGCCGTCGATGAGCGTCCTGTCGCCCGACTCAGATTGGTGTCCCGCCCCGTCGTGTCTTTTCGGCCGTGCCGACACCTTCCGGCTGTCGGCAAAATAAATCACTCTGATTGGCTGTTCAGCTTAGCGAATCAGTGCATGAGAAGCGAAACGGAAGTGAAGAAGGCACACACAGACGGCTATTATTTTTCATTTTCCAGGACCGCACTAAACATGTTTTCGATACGTCGTTATGTGAAACAGTCTAATGGACGAGAGTGAAAATGGAACGCACGCTATTTGTTGTTTGTTTATATCACGCAGTCTGTTCTTCTTCTCTCGGTTATCACGCAGTCTGTCTTCAGGTTGTTGCCTCTTTTGAATGACGAATACACACTACCGCCGCCTGCTGGTAAGGAGAGTTATTGCCACTCACGCATGCGCAGTTCGTACGTGCTTCTTGGCCGTCGGCTGAAGTGTGTGCGGTGAGTTCCAGTGCGACACATGGCCAAGACGCGAGGCGACGCAACAGTCGGGGTCCGTCTGTCAGTTCTTTGGTGTCAGTTTGGTGTGTCCGGGCCTTAACTCGAAATGCCGTGAGACTGGGTTGTTCTATCTTATACACTCGGGCCTTCATTATCCTGTGCACCTCCTTGAAAGAGTGCTTCAGTATTTCCCAAATGGCATGCATTATGTTTTAGTACGTTCTTTGTGTCTGCAGATTTGAGATGAAGCCGACCAACAACCTGGGTCCGAGCTTCAGGACCCCCAACACGCTGCCCTGGGCCGAGTTCTAAATCATGACGTGTGAACAAATAAAAACAAGTAACACGTGTTATATAAACGCATGCATTAATATTTATTTTAGAATGTGTTCTCCGCATGTCCTTAACCTTAACCCCATTTTAAGTTTTAAATCGGCACTTTGATTTTTTTATCAACTCTCGCTGAGGAAACTGATGGCCTTCAATCTTGTTTTGATATTCGGGTGTTAGTGTGTATTCTGTGTGCTTGTTTTTATTAAAAGTTGCTTTTTTGTTATAAACGTCTTCATTCATTTATTGCATGTTTTTCTGCATGACGGAATTGTTTTACTAAAACATATAATCGAAATATAATATGCTTTAAAGGTGGGGTAGGTAAGTTTGAGAAACCGGCTCGAGATACACTTGTTATATTCCATTGAATGCTCTTAACATCCCGATAGCAATGAATATCTGAAGTGCTTTGACAAAAAATCCAATAAAAAAAGTCATCTGTGGCGCTGTAAAAAGCTCGACCAATCATCTGAGCCGGCCCGGCTAAAGTAACTGGATGGCCTACCTGCCTGTCAGCCTTCCATCTGTGTGCACACATTGGTCATGAGCGCGTTCGTGTGTGTTGGAGGAGGGGCTCTGTAAGGAAGTGGCAGATTTTCTCCGGTTGTGTATTTTCAAATTCTAGCGCACTCGAGCTGGTTTCTCCAAAATTACCTACCCTACCTTTAAAATGAAGAAAAATAAATCAAATATAAACAAGACCCAAATGTTTATCCTGAGTAGAAAGAATAAAGTGCAGTACAAGACAAATAAAATACTATAAAAGAACATTTTAAAGTAGTACGTTAAGAAAAACACATTTGGAAACGTACACATTTTGCACGCTGTGTGCACGGCTGGACTGGTTAACAGAACATTTAATGTAATATAGTAACGCATGTAGACGCCGCACATACACACAGATGTTCCTAATTCACAATCTATAATTAATTGGCTGTTTTTAAAGTCAGAATTTACAATAAAGAGCATTTTTAAACAAGTGTCACTGAGCCGCCACTGGGGGGCAGCACTCATCAACTCAAACACTGATTCTGTTCCTTTGAAAGAACAAGAGGGCAGTTTCAGTAAAATAATAGGCTTTAAAAAATAACCTAACGAGTGCATTGAACATGTTACTTCAATATAGTCAGGAAAATATAGATCACTAAAGCAAGTATTGGAGAAAAAACATAAAAATACCGTAGTTTGACCTAGAAACTAAAATGGAGTTGATGAGGAATACAATAAAATATGGAAATGCCATTAAAATGTGTAAAGGACAAATATAAAGAATATATTAGGATGGAGAATTTTTATGATAAGATTTGAAAAACGTACTTTGAAACTACTAGGAATATTTAAAACAAATATTGTACTTTTTCTGAACTCTGCAAAAGTAAATAAATGTCTAAGGCAGGAAATTATATACATGAGTAAACAATTAGAAAAACTATATGTAAAAAATGCTTTTAAAATGTCAAAAAAAAAAAAAATGAACTTTCAACTAGAAAAAAATATAGAAATTAGAGGAACTTAAAAAGAACATTATTTCTCTAAAATTATGTAAAAAGAAAATACTGACTACTTTCCATTGTTCATGGAGTAATTGTGTGTGCGCGTGCTGGTTTGGGGAGTAATGGATTACATTACATGAAACGGGATTATCAGTATACAGAAAAAGTTAACTGTATTTCCTTAGTTACATCAAACAACTTTGTGTGTGTGAGGGGGGACAGAGCTCTGTCATTTCTAAGTGGCATTATTGATTCCATGTGATGAAGGTCTATTATTAGACGTGTTGAGCTGTGTGCTGCGAGCTGCTATCTCCTTTCTCCTCGGAGTACGTGCACCATGTGTGTCGAGGAAGCTCTGTTCCTACCTGTCCTCCGAGCTCGAGTTAGTCCTGACCTCTTAAACTCGTGTCTGCCTGGGATTAGATGTCTCGTTGACCCTTTGAACACGACTCAGGGGTAGAAATTGATGCTCGTTGGAGAGAGATACTGACTGCAGGAACCTGAGGCTGCAAATTAAATATCAGTTTCTTATTAAAAAGCCAGCACGGAGTCAGGATTAGAAATAGCTCTGTGCATGCCGTCCAGATGATTGAATACCGTACATCATGTGAGGAGCTATTCTGGAAGATGCTTTCTAGATGTACAGCAAAGAGTCTGTATGAAAACATATAAGAAACACGAGTACGGAGGCTGACAGGTGCAAACACACTACAATGACCCAAAACTCTTGCATCAGGAGAAACACGCTGCCGCTTCAGAAACGATGCAGATATACAAATATAAAATGTTTTCCACATGAAGAAACATCTTCAGCAACTTGACAACACATGCGGCGTTTAGAGAACATTCAGAAACTTGAGGAGACATGGCAGCGTTTACTAAAAGCTGCAGAAACCAGACGCTGAAGAAGCTCAAACACAACGGAGACCAGGGGACACTAAAGAGTGACGCACACAGCTGGAGACCATGGGACACTAAAGAGTGACGCACACAGCTGGAGACCATGGGACACTAAAGAGTGACGCACACAGCTGGGAGACCAGGGGACACTAAAGAATGACGCACATAGCTGGGAGACCAGGGGACACTAAAGAGTGACGCACACAGCTGGAGACCATGGGACACTAAAGAGTGACGCACACAGCTGGGAGACCAGGGGACACTAAAGAGTGACGCACACAGCTGGGAGACCAGGGGACACTAAAGAGTGACGCACCCAGCTGGAGACCATGGGACACTAAAGAGTGACGCACACAGCTGGAGACCATGGGACACTAAAGAGTGACGCACACAGCTGGGAGACCAGGGGACACTAAAGAGTGACGCACACAGCTGGAGACCATGGGACACTAAAGAGTGACGCACACAGCTGGGAGACCAGGGGACACTAAAGAGTGACGCACACAGCTGGAGACCAGGGGACACTAAAGAGTGACACACACAGCTGGCAGACAAGGGGACACTAAAGAGTGACGCACACAGCTGGAGACCAGGGGACACTAAAGAGTGACGCACTGGAGACCAGGGGACACTAAAGAGTGACGCACACAACTGGAGACCAGGGGGACACTAAAGAGTGACGCACACAAATGGAGACCAGGGGACACTAAAGAGTGACGCACACAACTGGAGACCAGGGGACCTAAAGAGTGACGCACACAGCTGGGAGACCAGGGGACACTAAAGAGTGACGCACACAGCTGGGAGACCAGGGGACACTAAAGAGTGACGCCGACACAGCTGGGAGACAAGGGGACACTAAAGAGTGACGCACACAGCTGGGAGACCAGGGGACACTAAAGAGGAAGCACACAGCTGGGAGACCGGGGACACTAAAGAGTGACGCACACAGCTGGAGACACAGGGGACACTAAAGAGTGACGCACACAGCTGGAGACCAGGGACACTTAAAGAGTGACGCACACAAGCTGGGAGACCAGGGGACACTTAAAGAGTGACGCACACAGCTGGGAGACCAGGGGACACTAAAGAGTGACGCACACAGCTGGGAGACCAGGGGACACTAAAGAGTGAACGCACACAGCTGGGAGACATGGGACACTAAAGAGTGACGCACACAGCTGGGAGACCAGGGGACACTAAAGAGTGACGCCACACAGCTGGAGACCAGGGGACACTAAAGAGTGAAGCACATAGCTGGGAGACCAGGGGACACTAAAGAGTGAAGCACACAGCTGGGAGACCAGGGGACACTAAAGAGTGACGCACACAGCTGGGAGACCAGGGGACACTAAAGAGTGACGCACACAGCTGGGAGACCAGGGGACACTAAAGAGTGAAGCACACAGCTGGAAGACCAGGGGACACTAAAGAGTGAAGCACACAGCTGGGAGGCCAGGGGACACTAAAGAGTGACGCACACAGCTGGGAGACCAGGGGACACTAAAGAGTGACGCACACAGCTGGGAGGCCAGGGGACACTAAAGAGTGAAGCACACAGCTGGGAGACCAGGGGGACACTAAAGAGTGAAGCACACAGCTGGGAGACCAGGGGACACTAAAGAGTGACGCACACAGCTGGGAGACCAGGGGACACTAAAGAGTGAAGCACACAGCTGGGAGACCAGGGGACACTAAAGAGTGAAACACACAGCTGGGAGACCAGGGGACACTAAAGAGTGAAGCACACAGCTGGGAGACCAGGGGACACTAAAGAGTGACGCACACAGCTGGGAGACCAGGGGACACTAAAGAGTGAAGCACACAGCTGGGAGACCAGGGGACACTAAAGAGTGAAGCACACAGCTGGGAGACCAGGGGACACTAAAGAGTGACGCACACAGCTGGGAGACCAGGGGACACTAAAGAGTGACGCACACAGCTGGGAGACCAGGGGACACTAAAGAGTGAAGCACACAGCTGGGAGATTGATTGATTGATTGATTGAAAAGTTTATTAACAGCTTGTATATTGGGTACAGTACAGTACAGTACAGTACAGTACAGCTCAAAACATACAATTGTTAAGGGGATGCAGACCAGAGAAAGACTTTTGTCTTGTTTACATCAGGGTCCCCCATTTCCAATTCATCATGTCATTTAAGACATATAAGACATATTTGACATACAGATGGCTTATTTACAATTTACATACAGGTGGTTTTTTACATACAGATTGCTTATTTACAATTTTCATTTTAGATTTCGTTCTAATACATCCTAACCGGACATTTAAGACATACCAAGTCTACAGATATACAGTTAGTAACAGAGTCTAAAATGCGAGTATATACATAGATGGGGGGGGAAGCTGTCCATTGAACGACAGGTTGAGATTTGTACCATTACCGGGGCCAGTTTTGCAATGCTCTCCCCCGAAGGTGCTCTTTAAGAGAGGTTTTGAAGGTAAGTATAGTTTTACTTTCCTTTACAGTTGTGGGAAGAGCGTTCCACCTTGATGTGGCATAATTGCGAAACGTGTATTCCCCCTTTTTTGTGCCAAATCTGGGTTTCACATGATTTGTGGAGCTCCCTCTGGTGTTATGATCATGGTATTCCTTGACCTTTGGGAAGAATTTTGACATGTACATGGGTACCATAGAGGTGTAGTGGATCTTGTAGACCAGGCCCATTGCAAGTAGCTGTACTCTGTCGTCTACTCTAAGCCATCCTAGGTTGTCAAAGTGGGCAGAGGTGAGGTGGGTTCTAGATGAAAGGTCAAGCAGTAGTCTGACCAGTTTATTTTGCGATGTTTGAAGTTTTATTTGTAG